TGGGTTCGTCACCTCGACGGAAATTAGTTCTTAGACGAGTCTTGTCCACCCGCTTTTGTAACATGTTCCAAAATGTTTATTTTGACCATATTTTTTTTCACCAACCTCGTTCGAACCCCGTTCAAGCTAGCTTGAACGCATTGTTCGTCATTTCCAGCTGAACAGCAGTTGAACAACTGTGTACCGCGCCCTTATTGAACAGTGCCCACCCGCAACTTGTGCAGCTTCACAGGAACACACCGACACAAGCATGGCTTCACAAATCCTCGAGACTCCCGAACGCTCCAGTTCCAGAACATCCCTCAGCGGCAGCTACCAGGCAGCAAGCACCAGTTTTCCCATAGCTTCTGGGTGCCGTGTCCACCTAGAATTCACTCTCCACACCTAGATTTGAGCTCTGCAGCATTTAGTCGGCAGACAGACGAAGGGAAAGGATGGTAGCTTCCGACGTAGAGCACATGAGGGTGACCGCTTGCCTTACTTGATATAACTGCGACGGCGAGAATCGTATTATACATTGTCTCAGCTCCACTTTGCCGCAACAGTCGTAGACGCTAGCCGCTTACACCGGTTTAAGGAGCAATAATAGGTTCTGTATACATTTCGGGACTGAATGGATAACGTCGTCGGGAACGTGACGTCATGGTTTCGCAGGTAACCATTTCCGCAAATTGCTTCAACTGAATTCGCTAGCGTCGTCGGTTTTCCGCTAGGATCATTGGTGCATCTTTAGGTCGATAAAGGCCAGCACGTCTAAAGGCCAGCTCTATTGAAGCTGTCCGACCCGTCATGCATAGGAAACGAATAGGAGATTCATAAGGCTTTCTTGGCTAAGCCTGCCGCTTCTCTCGCCTGGTCCATGCAGGGCCGTAGCAGGCGGTTCAGAAGAGCCTAATCGCAGCAGCAGCTCGACGCAATCTCTGCACCATCAGGTACGTTTCCATGCGATTAAGAATTTCATGTGGTGACCTCGAGAGAAGGTGATGAACGTAAATCGATAGGAACTTTCTCGTCATACCACCCCACATCTCCTCATCTCTAATCTCCGTCGCAGCCCCCAGCCTTGGCCAGTCAGCACCCAACGCTGCTGCAGCAGCAGAGGGAGCAGCAGCTGAGGGAGGAGGAGCAGCGGCAGTTGGAAGAAGCACTCAGGCTCTCCTTGCAGGTGAGCCACACACGCAAAGCCCAGCTTTTGCTCTCCCCGCTTCACCCCATCTCTGCCTCCACTCCATCCCACATGCCTCACTCATCCACCCTATGTTTTGCTGCCACTTACACGTCTATTCCTCTGCTGATTCTCCCCTGTTCTCACTCTACTTCTCGCTTCTCCCTCGATGCTCCCTTTGTCTGTTTTATCAGGAGCAGCAGCACGTGCCGAGCCATCAGCCATGGGTGCCGAGCCTTCAGCATCAAGTCCCGAACCACCACCAGCAGGTCCCGAGGCAACAGCATCAGGTTCCGAACCACCAGCAGCAGCCGGCTCCGAGGCACCAGCAGCAACAGCATCAGGTTCCTGGGGGCTGGCCTCCAGGAAGGAGCAGGCAGACAGAGCAGCAGGGTGCAGGATGGGGCGGGAACACAGGGAGAGGGGAGGCAGTGGGGAGGGGGGAGGCGGTGCGTAGGGGCGGGGATGAGGAGGAGGAGGACAGGGCTCTTCAACTAGCGTTGGAGATTTCGAGACGAGAGGCAGAGGAGGCATCTCAAGGTGCGTGTATGTGCGTGCATCCGTGTGTGTCAACCCGTGTGTGTGAATCCGTGTGTGTCCATCTGTATATGCTGGTCTGTGTGTATGCTTGTCTTGCCATTGCCAGTGGCTGGCTGCACATGTCACAGACTGATTGCTCCCTGCATGTGCTCATCCCCGCCCTCCCTCCATCCCTTGCCATGCTGCTTCTTCAGCTGTTAGAGCAGCCCAGGGTGCTGACAGGACACCAGCAGCGGCAGCCGCGGCAGCTGCAGCGCAACGGGAAGCCATGAATCGCCATTGGTCAGCAACAGCAGCAGCACGAGCAGGAGCAGGAGCAGCAGCTGCTGCTGCTGGTGCGGAGCGTTCTCGGCATGTGGGGATGGGTGGAGGAGCGGGACAAGACAGAGCAGGGCCAGGCGGAGTGGGGCGGGGCGGAGGTGGAGGTGGTGAGGGAGCACCACCAGATACCAGCAATGATGAGGAGATAGCCCGGCTGCTGCAGCAAGAGCTGAGCCTCGAAGAGGTGGGTTTGGGGAAGGTGAGGCTGGGGGAGGTGAGCATGGAGGAGGTGAGGGATTTAAAGGGATGTGAAACTGGATGGAGATGAATTGTGGAGATTATGATGTGAGGAGGATTAGAGATGCGATGGGAGGAGTGATAACCCCTCTTGCCCACACTGACCTTCTCCACCTTATCATCCCACGGCCCTTTCCCTCCCCTCACTCATCCCTCCCGGTTTCCCCAGGGCGGGCTCTCGCATTCGCCTGCAGCACCTCCTGCCGGCAGCAACAACAGCAGCAGCAGCACTGTGCGCAGCGGTGGGGCGGGCGGCGCAGGAGCAGGGAGGGTGGTGGGGGGAGGGCATCAGCACCCTGTGTGGTCGGCGCTGCTGCCGCCCGTGTGTGCGGGGTGCCATGGGTCTCTGGGGTTCTCCCCTGCTCTCTCGTCCATGGGGGGATTGTGGCACCCACACTGCTTCACTTGCCACGGATGCAAGCAGACCATCTCAGAGAAACAGGTATGTCGCAAAATGGTTTTGTTGTGAGTGTGATGTGGGGGAGATGTAATCTGCATCTGAGACACGCACACCGCTCCTCTAAAGGGCAGCACGCCATGCCATCATGCCATCACACCATCACGCCTTGTGTCGCTACCTCCTCCCTTCTTCTCGCAATTTACCCCCATTTCAACATCAGCCACGGCAATCCATGCCATGCAGCATGCCTTATGCCTTCATGCCATCATGCCATGTGCCTCGTGCCGTTCGCCCCTTCCCCTGTCTCCCCACCCCCCACCAGTTCAACATCAAGGACGGCAAGCCCTACCATGCAGCATGCCACCGCCAGCTCTTCCACCCCAAGTGTGCCGTCTGCCAGGACTTCGTGAGTCCTTCAGCCTACCTCTCGCTTTCTGGTTGACTTGTGGGGGGAGTGGAGGGTGTTTTGGATCGACTCAGAACACAGCTCTTCCCCCAAGTGCGCCGTGTGCCAGGACTTTGTGAGTCCTTTATCTTAGATGTTGGTTCCTGGTGTAGCAGTGTGTTGGAGAGTAGAGGGTGCAGCCACGAGGAGCAATGCCCCTACCATGCAGCATGCCACCGCCACCTTTTCCACCCCAAGTGCGCCGTCTGCCAGGACTTCGTGAGTACACGCTCGTACCTCTTGCTTCCTGGTTACGAAGCACGTCGAGGGAGAAGCCACTTCAGAGTCACCTTGCAATGCTACCATTACGGCTATCAGAACCCACACAAATGTCCTCTTTATTCTCAGCTCGCGAGACCCCTCCCCAACCTCTTTCCCCCCTTCTCTCTTTCGCCCCGTCACCACTCCAGATCCGCCCGAACCCAGCAGGCATGATCAACTTCCGCTCGCACCCCTTCTGGGGCGACAAGTGGTGCCCCGCCCACATGACAGACAGCACTCCCTCCTGCACCTCCTGCTGCCGCCTGCAGGTGAGGGCGAGGTGCTGATACTGCGCAGTTGCTGCTTCTGTTCCACTGCCTCAGCGCCACCTGCGCCTGTTCCACCTGGCCATGTATGTTCTCCCTACCTCACTTCCACCCCCTAACATCTGGCTCCTTGCACGACTCTGTTGTGTTTGGCTTCCCCGCTTCCCTGCTCTTGCAGTCCCGCAGTGCCCCGCCCTTCATCGACCTGCCGGACGGGCGGCATCTCTGTCTTGACTAATATATGCTCCCCCTCTTCCCTACCGATCCCCTTACCTTGGCTTACAGTCCCGCGGTGCCCCGCCCTTCATCGACCTGCCGGACGGGCGGCATCTCTGTCTTGACTGCGTTGACTCCGCCGTGCTAGACTCCGCCGACTGCCGCCCGCTGTTTTCGTCCGTTAGCGCCTTCTTTGCCCAGCTGGGGATGCCAGTGAGGCAGCAGATTCCGGTGCTGGCAGTGGAGCAGCAAGCGTTGAACGATGCCCAGAGGGCAGAAAGGGAGGTGAGTGGGTGTGATGGTAGATCGGGCATGTGATGCACAGGTAAATATCTGCTTTCTAGCACAACAGGGGATGCCAGTGCAGCAGCAGATTCTGGTTCTGGCAGTGGAGCAGCCGGCATTGAATGATGCCTAGAGGGCGGAGAGGGAGGTGAGTGGGGGGTGATGGTCCATGGGCACCAGGCATGAGATGCACAGCTGTGCTCCTTAAGAGCATGGTCCTTATGCTCTCTGGCACAATAAGGAATCCCAATGTAGCAGCACATTCCGCTGCTGCTATCCCCAGCCACCCAGTGCATCTCACCTCACCCTGCTGCGTCATTCCTGCCTCCAATCCACCCCTACTCCCCTTTCCTCCTCCTCTCTCATCTCCTCCCCCCCCACCAACACCACCATCGCCACTCCCATCAGGGCCATGAGCACGGGTCGCTCACAAGAGGTCTCTGCCTGTCGGAAGAGCAGACCATCCAAATGGTGAGTCACTCTATCCTCTCTTCAACCCCTCATTCTACCACCCGTGGCGCTCGCAATCTTGAGGCACCACAGCACCATAGCTTCTTCCTTCCCCACCCTTGTCCTAGCATTCCTACAATGCGACCCCTTCCGTCCATTCTCCTCTTTTCCCCACCCACATCCCGTTATGCAGAGCAAACCGGGTAGTCTGTTCTTGGTTTCGCCCTTGCCTTCCATTGAGGCATATCAAAACTCCTCTTACCGCTGATTGTTCCACCCACCCTGCTGCAATCAGGTGGTTCGGCTGCCCGGCTCGCTCACCCACGCCTCCTCCTTCTCTGCAGTGGGCCAGCAGACCATGACAATGTCTCGCCACTGTGCTGTCACCGCCATAACAGCTTACTCACGCACCTCTCCCCCCTCACCCCTTACTCCCGGTGTATCAGGTGGTGCGTTTGCCAGGCTCGCTCTCGCACGCCTCCTCCTTCTCTGCACTGGGCCAGCAGACCATGACAGTGTCCCGCCACTGCGCTGTCACCGCTATCCTCGTGCTCTATGGGCTGCCCAGGTGCGCTCTATGGGCTGCCCAGGTAGGCATGGTGCAGGGGATGATGCATGGGATGCACGGGTAGGGTACTGCATGCACCTGCCAGTGGGCCAGCAGACCAGACCATGACAGTGTCTCGCCACTGCGCTGTCACCAACATCCTCGTGCTCTATGGGCTGCCCAGGTGCGCATGGCATGTTGCATGGGGTACTCATGGCATGGCATGTTGCATGGGGTACTCATGGCATGGCATGTTGCATGGGGTACTCATGGCATGGCATGGCATGGCATGGCATGGCAGAGCCGGTAGCCGTGCATCAGCAGCCGACCACAGTGTCACCGCCATCCTCATGCTCTATGGGCTGCCCAAATGTGCATGGCATGCCTGCAACAAAGTACACAGTGCTAGTCTCTCTCTGCCTGCGCGTCTGCCCTTCCACTTGTCCTTCAAAAGCAACCCCCTGCCTGCTTCTTCTCGCCCTGCCTTCTTCCGCCCCTCTACCCCTCCCACTCCCCATCAGAGTGTTAACAGTGTCCATTCTGGCGCATGACCTCATGCACGCATGTGTCTGCCCCTCTACCCCAACCCACCCTCCCCCCCTCTTCCCGCCTTACCCCATCAGAGCACTGACAGTGTCCATTCTGGCGCATGAGCGCATGCACGAGTGTGTCTGCCCCTCTACCCCAACCCACCCTCCCCCCCTCTTCCCGCCTTACCCCTCCCACTCCCCATCAGAGTACTGACAGCGTCGATTCTGGCACATGAGCGCATGCACGAGTGTGTCTGCCCCTCTACCCCAACCCACCGTCCCCCCCCCCTTCCCTCCTCTCCCCTCGCACTCCCCATCAGAGTACTGACAGCGTCCATTCTGGCACATGAGCTCATGCACGCCTGGTTCAAGCTCGACGGTACGTGTGCCCCCTCCACTGCGCGTGCCATCCTCATTGCGCCAACAGTTTTCCCCCATGACTCAAGTGATACTCAACAGACTTCTTCTGTCGTTATCTCACAGCATGCATCAGTCAGCTGGATCCCCTCGTCCCCCTCCATCACATCGCACAGCGCTCCATCATCCCCACCTCCCCTGCCTCCACTGCACCTGCACGTGGCTCCCTCACCTTCACACTGAGCTAGCTTCAAGGTCGCTTCTGTGTCCCTCCTCTCCCTTATATTTCCACACCCGCAGGGGGCTTCCGCCATCTGCCCCCAGAGCTAGAGGAGGGCATGTGCCAGGTTATGGCATATCTCTGGCTGCAAACCCAAGCCTCTCCAGCCCCACACGCCCCATCACAAGCCCCGTCCCCACACGCCCCATCACAACAAGCCTCCTCCGCTGCTCCACTGGCTCACGAGGCGCACAGCAGCTTTCAGCAGCGCTTTGCAGCGTTCTGCCTGCACTCCATTGCCATTGATGCTTCCCCCGTGTACGGTGATGGGTTTCGTGCCGCCCATGCTGCTGTGCTGAAACATGGACTGCTGCCTACCCTAGAACACATCCGCGCTTACAGAGCACTGCCCAGAGCATAGGTTGACTGCTGGCAGAGGATGAAGGCAGGGGCTGTTCTGTCTGCACTCCATCGCCATTGATGCCTCCCCCGTGTATGGCGATGGGTTTCGTGCCACCCATGCTGCTGTGCTCAAGCACGGGCTGCTGCCTACGCTAGAACACATTCGCGCATACAGAACACTGCCTAGAGTGTAGATAGATAACGTGGGCCTTGCATGTATGTTTGTGTTTACAATTGCTTCTGCTGCCCATGCTGCTGTGCTCAATTTTAGCCAACGCTGGAGCACTGGTGCCCGTATCTCAGTAGGATAGAGTACGGTAGCATTGCTGCTACTGTGTTGTTACATTCTCGCACGGTCTAAAGGCTGCCCAGTGTAGAAGGATCCACACTAGCTCTTGCGTACATGGCTTCTCCTGTGTGCACGGTGGGCTGCCCTCCTTATTGTTGACTGCACTATGAAGCAGCACGGCAAAACCCTTAAGGCAATGTTCCACGCCATTGGATGCATTTAGGTATGCATGCAGCTCTTCACAAAGAATACGGACAACGAGGTGGTACGTCTTTGCGGGGTACTACCAAGGAAGTGTTTAGCAGTGGTAGGAACGTGTGTAGCTTTTGGGGTTTTCAGTGAGCCCGGCTTTCCGTTACAAGTTGCCTTATGGTCTACCCTACCCATAGAGGCCCTGCACCAATGCTAGCACTCTTAGCACTTCTAAGCCCCAGCAGCAGCAGCAGCAGCAGCAGCAGCAGCGTCCAATACACCCCTTTGATCACTGCCTTCACAATCATCTCCCGATCGCCTCTAGAGCCATCTCATTAAGACACAGGCCCTGCAGCAGCCTTAATGCTTCTTGAGCCCCAGAAGCAGCAGCAGCAGCGCCCAGTACGCGCCTTTGATCACCGCCTTCACAATCATCTCCCCTCGCCGCGTGCTGGGAGGGAAGCGGGCTGCCAGGTCCCCTGAGAGAGGTTTGGTGTAGGCGGCCTTGCAGTGGCTGAAGCAGTCGATGGACCACCTCCCCTTGTACCGCCCCATGCCGCTGTCCCCCACTCCTCCAAACGGCAACTCCATGTTGCCCGCCTGGGAAGGGTGGGAAGGAGAGGTGGGGAAGGAGTGGGTGGTGAAGAATAGGAGAGGGTTTCATGGGGAGGTTGATGGAGTAGCGCCCCTTGTACCGCCCCGTGCCGCTGTCCCCCAATCCTCCGAATGGCAACTCCATGTTGCCCGCCTGGGAAGGGTGGGAAGGAGTGGTGATGGTGGGGGGGAGAGAGGTTGGTGGAATTTTTTACAGCTCCTCCCCTTCCTCCCCACCCCCCCCCCCCCCCCCCCCCCCCCCTTTCCATTTGGTAACCGCACCTGCAGGATGAGCTCATTGGCCACGACAGCGCCCGAGCTTGCTCTCCTTGAAAACTGCTTCAGCACCCCCTGGCGTCACAAACGCACTCACTAATCCCTCCCCCCCTCTCCTCCCCTCGCCACACCTGCAGGATGAGCTCGTTGGCCAATGGCCACGACAGCGCGCGAGCTGGTCGCCGTGAGAAAGCGCTGCCAGAACGAGAATGAACACCCTCACTAACCTCATGCCTCTCTTTCTCCCCCTACCCCTCTCTCAACCAATAAACTCAACAGCACCTGCAGGATGAGCTCGTTGGCCACGACAGCGCCTGAGCTGGTCTCCTTGACGAAGCGCTGCCGCGTGTCCTCCCGGGACGAGAAGACTATCACCACGAGCGGCTTGGGGCGCGCGTTGATGATGTCAATCGCCTCGTCGATTCCCGACACCTGATGGGGGGAGAGAGGGGAATGCAGGGCAGAGAAAGCACACGGGCAGACAGAAAATGACTACTGGTGGAGGGTCAGTCAGCGGCTTGGGGCGCGCGTTGATGATGTCAATGGCCTCGTGGATTCCTGACACCTGATGGGGGTGAGGGAGGGGTGTAGCAGTACAGTACAGGCGGACAGCAAACAACTATCACTGGGGGCTCGGCGGCTTGGGGCGCGCGTTGATGATGTCAATGGCCTCGTGGATTCCCGACACCTGATGGGGGGAAGGGAGTAGGTAGCGGCAGAGAGCGAAAAGTTGGTGCTGGTGATGCGTCCAGAGGTGCATAGGTGCAGGTGAGTGGAGGGGCAGTGGGAGCCGGAGCAGGAGGCCATGGGACTTGTGGTTGATGGTCACGGAGAAAGAAGAAGATGAGCCTGGGGAATAGACGGTCAGGATGAGGGGTCTCACAGTTTGGATGGCTAGGATGGGTCCAAAAACCTCGGACTGCATGATGGGGGCATCCCAGGGCACGTTGAGTAGCAGTGTTGGGGCGAAGTACCTGGGGGTTGGTGGGGTTGGGGGGGAAGAAGGGGGAGGGATGGTTGGGACGGTTGAAAACACAAAGGGGGAAAATGTTGCCTTTTATTACAGTAGAATCGAAGGGTGGCATCCCAGGGCACATTGAGCAGCAGCGTTGGGGCGAAGTATCTGAGGGGGCGGGGAAATGGAGGAGAGAGGGGAAAATAAGGGGGAGGGTGGCAAGAGTGTGCGAATGGAGGTGGAGTTAGGAGGCGTGGGTGCTCTTTGTTTCATTCTCTTGAAAAATGGCAAGTGGGAGGCAAAACTGAGAAACTGCACTGTGCAGCGCTGTCTTGCATTGACTTGTAATGAATCACCTCGATTCAACGTCGCTCTGCCCCCCGTGCACAAAACAGGAGGCGGTGGCAGGGTGCTGGAGAAGCTTCTGCAGGTAGGGCACGTGGGAGGCTAAGGGTCACCTGTGTGGAATCATTGATTTACATTGACTCACCGTGAGCTCTGCCCCCCATGCACGACACAGGAGGCAGTGGCGGGGTGCTCGAGCAGCTGCTGCAGGTGGTGCACGTGGGAGGCGTTGAGTCGCCTTCACTCACATTGACTCACGTTGGCTCAAGTTGACTCACCTTGATGTCGCTCTGCCCCCCATGCACGACACAGGAGGCGGTAGCAGGGTGCTGGAGCAGCTTCTGCAGGCTTAAAGAGTGACCAGCGTTGGCCCTCATTGACTCTTCTGACTCACCTTGACTCAACGTCGCTCTGCCCCCCATGCACGACACAGGAGGCGGTGGCGGGGTGCTGGAGAAGCTTCTGCAGGCGGTGCATGTGGGAGGCTGATGGTCACCTGTGTGGAATCACATTGATCTCACCTTGACTCAACGTCGCTCTGCCCCCCGTGCACGACACAGGAGGCGGTGGCAGGGTGCTGGAGAAGCTTCTGCAGGCGGTGCACGTGGGAGGTGTTGATGATGCGTGCAAGGTCCGGGCAGAGAGCGGGGTTTGTGCCGTAAAACTGCTCGATTGCTGCCTTGAGATGGGGCAGCTGATGGGGGGGAGACAGAGCACAGGGTCAGACAGAAAAGAGATGAGCGAGGTCCGGGCAGAGAGCGGGGTTTGTGCCGTAGAACTGATCGATTGCCGCCTTGAGATGGGGCAGCTGATGGGGGGGGAAGGAAGGAGAAAGGGGGCAGACAGATAGCAGGTCGTGTGAGACGGTGAGAGAGCACACAACACACTTGCCCTCCCTACTTCACACCTTCCCTTGCCCCTGTCCCACCCAACCTCCTTTCTCTTTTCCCCTGCTCATTCTGCCCCTAACCCTGTCCATGACACTGGAGTTTCTGCCTCCAATCTGTATCAGTTTTGCACCATGCACCTTCTGTCCCTCGCCCTGTCCCTTCTCCCCCTCTCACCAGTCTAGCAGCGACGTCCTTGGTGGTGAGGATGTAGTCAGGCACACCTGCCCCCTCTGCTTCCTCCCTCAGTCCCTCCCTCAGTTCCTCCCTCAGTTCCTCCCTCAGTTCCTCCCTCAGTTCCTCCCTCAGTTCCTCCCTCAGTTCCTCCCTCAGTTCCTCCCTCAGTCCCTCCCTCAGTTCCTCCCTCAGTTCCTCCCTCAGTTCCTCCCTCAGTTCCTCCCTCAGTCCCTCCCTCAGTTCCTCCCTCAGTTCCTCCCTCAATTCCTTCCTCCCTCAGTTCCTTCCTCCCTCAGTTCCTCCCTCAGTTCCTCCCTCAGTTCCTTCCTCCCTCAGTTCCTCCCTCAGTTCCTCCCTCAGTTCCTCCCTCAGTTCCTCCCTCAGTTCCTCCCTCAGTTCCTCCCTCAGTCCCTCCCTCAGTTCCTCCCTCAGTTCCTCCCTCAGTTCCTCCCTCAGTTCCTCCCTCAGTTCCTTCCTCCCTCAGTTCCTCCCTCAGTTCCTTCCTCCCTCAGTTCCTCCCTCAGTTCCTCCCTCAGTCCCTCCCTCAGTTCCTCCCTCACTTTCTCCCTCAGTTCCTCCGTCAGTTCCTCCCTCAATTCCTTCCTCCCTCAGTTCCTTCCTCCCTCAGTTCCTCCCTCAGTTCCTCCCTCAGTTCCTTCCTCCCTCAGTTCCTCCCTCAGTTCCTCCCTCAGTTCCTTCCTCCCTCAGTTCCTCCCTCAGTTCCTTCCTCCCTCAGTTCCTCCCTCAGTTCCTCCCTCAGTCCCTCCCTCAGTTCCTCCCTCAGTTCCTCCCTCAGTTCCTTCCTCCCTCAGTTCCTCCCTCAGTTCCTCCCTCAGTTCCTCCCTCAGTTCCTTCCTCCCTCAGTTCCTCCCTCAGTTCCTCCCTCAGTTCCTTCCTCCCTCAGTTCCTTCCTCCCTCAGTTCCTCCCTCAGTTCCTCCCTCAGTTCCTTCCTCCCTCAGTTCCTCCCTCAGTTCCTCCCTCAGTCCCTCCCTCAGTTCCTCCCTAATTCCTTCCTCCCTCAGTTCCTTCCTCCCTCAGTTCCTCCCTCAGTTCCTTCCTCCCTCAGTCCCTCCCCCCTAATTCCTTCCTCCCTCAGTTCCTTCCTCCCTCAGTTCCTCCCTCAGTTCCTCCCTCAGTCCCTCCCTCAGTTCCTCCCTCAGTTCCTCCCTCAGTTCCTCCCTCAGTTCCTCCCTCAGTTCCTCCCTCAGTTCCTCCCTCAGTTCCTCCCTCAGTTCCTCCCTCAGTTCCTCCCTCAGTTCCTCCCTCAGTCCCTCCCTCAGTTCCTCCCTCAGTTCCTTCCTCCCTCAGTTCCTTCCTCCCTCAGTTCCTCCCTCAGTTCCTTCCTCCCTCAGTTCCTCCCTCAGTTCCTCCCTCAGTTCCTCCCTCAGTTCCTCCCTCAGTTCCTCCCTCAGTTCCTCCCTCAGTTCCTCCCTCAGTTCCTCCCTCAGTTCCTCCCTCAGTTCCTCCCTCAGTTCCTCCCTCAGTTCCTTCCTCCCTCAGTTCCTCCCTCAGTTCCTCCCTCAGTCCCTCCCTCAGTTCCTCCCTCAGTTCCTCCCTCAGTTCCTTCCTCCCTCAGTTCCTCCCTCAGTTCCTCCCTCAGTCCCTCCCTCAGTTCCTCCCTCAGTTCCTCCCTCAGTTCCTCCCTCAGTTCCTCCCTCAGTTCCTCCCTCAGTCCCTCCCTCAGTTCCTCCCTCAGTCCCTCCCTCAGTTCCTCCCTCAGTTCCTTCCTCCCTCAGTTCCTCCCTCAGTTCCTTCCTCCCTCAGTTCCTCCCTCAGTTCCTCCCTCAGTTCCTCCCTCAGTTCCTTCCTCCCTCAGTTCCTCCCTCAGTTCCTCCCTCAGTTCCTCCCTCAGTTCCTCCCTCAGTTCCTTCCTCCCTCAGTTCCTCCCTCAGTTCCTCCCTCAGTTCCTCCCTCAGTTCCTTCCTCCCTCAGTTCCTCCCTCAGTTCCTTCCTCCCTCAGTTCCTCCCTCAGTTCCTCCCTCAGTTCCTCCCTCAGTTCCTCCCTCAGTTCCTCCCTCAGTTCCTCCCTCAGTTCCTCACTCCTTATGCCCCTACCTCTGCCCCAACGTTGTTTTCGCACCAGCCTAGCAGCCACGTCCTTGGTAGCGAGGATGTAGTCGGGCACCAGGCACACCTGCCCCCTCTCCTTGTGCCCCTCGTCACTTTCCCTACCATCCCCTCTTCTCCCTATCCCTGTCCCTTCTCCCCCTCTCCTCTCACCAGCCTAGCAGCCACGTCCTTGGTAGCGAGGATGTAGTCGGGCACCAGGCACACCCGCCCGCCCCTTCATCCTTCTTACCATTCTGTACCTCTTTCAACCTCCCTATACCGACCTCTAGACGTACCAGCCTAGCAGCCACGTCCTTAGTGGCGAGAATGTAATCGGGCACCAGGCACACCTGCCCCGCATTCGTGCACTTGCCAGATACAATCCGCTTTGCTGAGACCTGGGGGGGTGCGACGGGGTTCGGAGCGGTAGAGAGGGGCATGGGGCACCTTTGGTGGGGTATGAGGCATGGGCGTGGGGCATGGTGCATGGAGTTTGGGGCATCGGAAACTGGGTAGGAGTGCTATGGAACATGCACGTTGCACTCGAGACAACATGCACACACCTCCAGGTCAGCAGCACGCACCTCCAGGTCAGCAGACTCGTCGATGAACAGTGGATTCTTGCCGCCCAGCTCCAGAGTGACAGGTGTCAGATGCTTACTGGCCGCCTCCATCACAATGCGCCCCACAGCCGTGCCACCCGTAAAGAAGATCTTATCCCACCGCCGCCCCAGCAGTGCCTTGGCTGTTTCCGGGCCGCCTTCCACCACCTGATGGTTGCGCGGCAGGGGCAGGGCAGAGGTTTCACGAGGGACAAGGGAAGAGGAATGGGTGACCTTCTGAGGCGCTTTAACCGTGCCTTGCCTGTGCCTTGCCTGTGCCTTGCCTGTGCCTTGCCTGTGCCTTGCCTGTGCCTCACATGGCATGAAACGAGGAAGGCAGGCGGGGGTCAAGGAGCAAGAAGGCGGTTTCTCAACCAGCATCACCCCTTGCCTGTGCGTGTGTCGCGTGCGTGGTCGCTGTGAGGCGAGGCGAGGGGAGGGGCGGTGGTGAGGGCGGGATGCAGGGAAGAGGGGTGAATGGAGCCATGCGTGCAGCCCATCCCCACCGCAGCTGCACCCATCCCAGCTGTGCAGTGCTGCCTGTATGGAAGGATTATGCAGAGCGGTACCTCAGCGTCCATGGCATGTTCTACATGATGTTACGCAACAACTGGGAGATAGCAGATGGTACCTGCCTGGGATAGCACCTGCCTGGGATAGCACCTGCAGCACGTGCCTGCACGGCCTGTGAGTCGAGGTAGAGGGGGAGGAGGCGCGAGAGCAGGTGCGAGCAGGAGGGGGAGTGTTCTGATGGCTTGAGAACAACCACGTTGCCCGCTGCTAAGGCTCCTATCAGCGGCTCCAAACTCAACACTGGGGGAGGGGCGTGTGGGGGAAGGGAGGAGAAAACGGCCACACAAGGATGGATAGTAGAGACAACACTGGGGGATGGGCACATGGGGAGGAAGGGAGACAGAATCGCCCACACGAGGGTGGAGTGGATAGGAGAGATGAGAACATAGATAGGGAGGAAAATAGATATCAGCATTGAAAGGCTAGAGCACCACCGCGCTGCTAGTGCGCCTATTAGCAGCTCCAGAGACAGCACTGAAGGGATGGGGGAGTGGGGGGAAGGGGAAGAAAACGCTTATGTACGAGCGCGCGGTGCAGCGTAAGAGCATTGGGACTACAGCTCCAGTCCTTACGCTGAGGTGGCATGTCGTTCACATGGCAGCAATGAGGTGGCATGGCGTTCGCATGGCAGCAATGAGGTGGCATGGCGTTCACATGGCAGCGACTATTGTTCAGCACCCTGACCTTGACTGTTAGAGCTTGTGAGTGTGCCAGCACGTACGGAGGGGGAAGTTCCAGGGCGAGATGACGAGCACCACGCCCAGCACAGTTAGTAGCACGTGGCAGGGAGAGGTGGAAAGGGGACGTACGGAGCGGGAAGTTCCAGGGCGAGATGATGAGCACCACGCCCAGTGAGCAACAAGCAAGAAGGAATGTGGCAGGGAGAGGTGGTGATGATGTACCAAAGGGGACGTGGCAGGGGAAGGCGGGAAGCACGTACGGAGGGGGAAGTTCCAGGGCGAGATGATGAGCACCACCCCCAGCGGCTCATGCACCACCTCTGAATGGCCTGGCCTCAACGTCAGTGGCGTGCCCACCTGGTCGAGAGGGGGGGGAAGGATGGGAGAGGCTGTTGAGGCACCTTGTTGAGGCGCCTCGAAACACACCCAGCGGCCCGGCCCATACACCACCTGTGAGTGGCCTGGCCTCAACGTCAGTGGTGTGCCCACCTGGAGGAGAGGGGGGGGGAAGAGAAAGATGATTTTGGCGACTTTGGTAGCGACCTCTGAGGCGCCTTTCGAGGCGCCTCTAAACACACCCAGCAGCTCATACACCACCTTAGAGCGGCCTGGCCTCAACGTCAGGGGCGTGCCCACCTGCCGTGGTGTGTGGTGTGTGGGGCGGGGGGAAGGAGGGGAGAGGCTATTGAGGCGACTAGTTGAGACGCCTCAAAACACCACCTGTGAGTGGCCTGGCCTCAACGTCAGTGGTGTGCCCACCTGGAGGAGAGGGGGGGAAAGAGAAAGATGATTTTGGCGACTTTGGTAGCGACCTCTGAGGCGCCTTTCGAGGCGGCTCACAACATGCCTAGCGGCTCATACACCACCTCTGAGCGGCCTGGCCTCAACGTCAGGGGCGTGCCCACCTGCCGTGGTGTGTGGGGGGTGGAGGGGGGGGGGAGGATGGGAGAGGCTGTTGAGGCAACTTGTTGAGGCGCCTCAAAACACGCCCAGCGGTTCATACACCGCCTCTGAGCGGCCTGGCCTCAGCGTCAGTGGCGTGCCCACCTGGTGGAAAGGGGGGGTGGGGGGGAGACCTTTTAAACGACTTTGGAGGCTACATTTGAGGCGCGTCAAAACATGCCTAGCGGCTCGTACATCGCCTCTGAGCGGCCTGGCCTCAACGTCAGGGGAGTGCCCACCTGGTGTGGGGGGGGTGTGGAAAGAAGAGGGCGTGGGCGTGACTGGTGACACATGGGAATGGATAGAGGCGAGAGAGAATGGGCAAGAGGAGATGCAACGTATTTGCCGCGGGCACGTGGTCCGGCAACGGGCTGACGGGCGAGCATCTCTGACATTTAGAGCAAACAACCCTTGCTCTACGAGGTCATGTGACAAGTCCGCCCATCAGTAAATGCATCTGATCTGGGAGGCATCAGCGGCAGTGCATCACCCACCCGCCCGCTCCCATCCATGCTCCCAGTCCGCCAATGCCCTCAACTCCCCATGCCCCCCCCTCCCCCTGCCCACCCACGCCTCCTCCCCCCACCCTTGCCCAGCCATCACCCCGGCGCACCGTTTGGGGCTGCACCCACTTGTTGAAATGCTTTAGCATGTGGCTCGCCGCCTCCCCCACGCCCTCTCCCCACCCAATGCCCCCTCCCTGCTGCTCACCCAACCCCGCTCGTTCCCCCCACCCAAGGCACCTCTCCCCACCCACCCAGGCGCACCTTCTGTGGTTTGACCCATGTCTTGAAGTGCTTCAGCATGTGGCTCGCCGCCTTCCACACGCCCAGCACCTGCGTGCGGATTGGGGGTGAGTGTAGGCAGGAAGAAAAGCAGCAGATTACACTGCCGGGTCGCTTCAGCAGGAAAACCGCTCATGCCTGCATCTTCATCAGCATGTAGCTCGCCACCTTCCACACGCCCAACACCTGCAGGCGCAAAGGGTTGGGGGTGAGTGCGGGCAGGGCAGGAAGGAAGACGGGCGGCAATATGCAATGTAATGCAGACACGCTTCAGCAGAGAATCCCCTCAGGTTTCGTCAGCATGTGGCTCGGCGCCTTCCACACGCCCCCAGCACACCTGTGACTGTGATGTGAGCATCGCAGCCCGCCTTCCTCCCAATGCTGCACATCCCACTCTCACACCATCACTCTCCCTTCATTTAAAGCCCCACTTCCAATGCCACGCCCCCACTGTCAGCCGCCTGCCTGGCGACGCCATCCTCTCAATGCCAGCCTACACAACCCGTGATTCCCTCAGAACATGTTGAGGCGCCTCAGACAGCCCGCGGTGCTACCTCGATGAGCCCCTCCATGCGATGTCTTCCTCTCAATGCCAGCCTACACAGTCCGTGACTCCTTTCAAGTATGTTGACGCGCGCCTCCTCAGACAACCCACAGTATCTCCACGAGCGCCTCCATGCTGCCGCGCCCAGGTCCGCCTTGAGCGCCGCCAGCATGTCGCCCTCGTGCCCCTCCCTTCGCCATGCGCACCAGGTTGCGCATCCTACCCGCACTCTCGCGCTCTCTCTGTATCAACGCCTCCCACCACACGCAATGCCACACCTCTATGAGCGCCTCCATGCGCCCGCGGCCCAGGTCCGCCTTGAGCGCCGCCAGCATGTCGTCCTCGTGCTCCTCCGCCATGCGCGCCACACAAGCATCACACCCGCGCTCACTGCTTCTCAACGCCACTCTCCCAATGCCACTTCCCCAATGTCAGGCTTTCAGTGTCGCCCTCTCAATGATGACCCTCAGTACCTCAATAAGCGCTTCCATGCGCCCGCGGCTCAGGTCGGCTTTAAGTGCAGCCAGCATGTCCTCCTCGTGCCCCTCTCTCCGACATGCGCAGCAGGTTGCGCAGCACATGCGCAGCACATGCGCAGCAGGTTGCACATCGTCCATCAGACGCCGTACCTCAATAAGCCCCTCCATGCGCCCGCGCCCCAGATCGGTCTTGAGCGCGGTCATCATGTCGTCCTCGTGCTCCTCCGCCATGCGCAGCAGGTTGCGCAGCTGCTGCTCGCGCCACGCCACGTTCCGCGTCTCGCCCGACCGGAACTTGAGGCGAAGCTTCGCCGCGAGTTCCTCCGCGGCGGCGTCGTCCAAGGTCTCGCCTTTCCGGCCGCCCTCCTCCACGCACGCCGCCGCCGCGCTGCCGCCCTGGTACGGCCTTTCCATGCTGGAAACGAGGCTGCTTATATCGAGACTTAAAGCGGTCGTGGTCAGAATGGGGAGTGGTATGCGGCGCGCGGCGCGCGCGGGTATTGGGGAAGACGAAGCGCGAACGAGTGTGGGTACTTAGCAACGACTCGATCGATCGTAAAGCTTATCACTTGGCGTAAGCGCGAGAAGAGGAAAGCCAGGAACAATTGACGAGCGAAATCTTCCCACCAATGGCAGCGCAAGTACGAGAGCGCCGCGGCTAGATACCGTCAGGCCACATCAAGTGTGTTCCGCTGCAGAGCAATGGGTTGGGCGGGTGAGAAGGCGGAGGCCAACATGCATTGAAGTTTGGCGCGTAGAGACCTGAGGCCCTCACAAAACAACGGTGCGAAAGAATGGTCAAATTCATGCAATAATGGCGTGGTGCATTAGAGCTGGACTTCTTACAACGATTATAACTTCCAGAAAGGTTCTACACGGTTATGTACGTTCAAATGTATTTTATTCATGGCACGAAGTGGTAAAGGCTCAAAGTGTAGTGGGTGTTAAGGATACGCATTAATTGGGTATTTTTTTTATTTGAATGTTTTCCGTGCGCCTGTAACTCAGTGGATAGAGTGTTCGCTTCCTAAGCGAGAGGTCCAAGGTTCGACCCCTTGCTGGCGCGTTTTTTCACCTTTTGCCATAGCTCCCGGTACAAGAGCAGCAGTGAGAACAATCACCCGACCACCGACAACTGCTGTCGTTGAAATCGCTGGCGACTGTCGCAGACCATCCGATCGTTGTTCGTTGAGCGTCTGACACCCGTTCGCCAAAGGTGTTGCGGTCTGCATTTTCACCTGATTGGCTCTTCCAGATTGCGAGTCGCTGATGATTGCGCCCCCTGTCCCTTAGCGAATCGCGTTCTTCGGATCGCATTCGCTTGTTTCAGAATTTCCCATTCGGCATCTTCCCAGTAACGTTTCGCAGAGGGACACAATTTTGCGTCTTTGTGGCGCCCTCCCTCCCGCGCCCATTTCTCCAATTCACCCCAACGGGTTAGCTACTCCTGCACACACAGCCATCTTCCTTCCTAGCTCAACCAACACAACCTGTGCTTTGGCGGCTAGGTTATGAGAACGAATTTTGTCGGCCCAACAGGCGCCACGACCGTCCGAGGCGGTGGTCTTTGTTCACCGTCCTAGTTTCTTGTTTAAACACATACTACCCACTCAGGTGGTAAGCGAGTACCGCACTTTAATTCCGATATAAATCCCTTTGACCCTAACAGATCTGGTAAAACGGCCACTTTTTTTGCGACGCTGTTCATTCAACTCACAGAAGGTCTTGCTGCCATAGCTTTCCAGTGCACCTCTCGCACACTCGTGTTCTTTCATAGCAAACTAGCACGTTTCGACCGCAACCAACACGTCCAGATCGCATCCAACACATTCAGACCGCAAGCAGCAAACTCGTGCTTCACCCTCTTACTCTCGCAGTCCGCGCCACTCGCTGGCATGGCGAGGCTGACAGCCGTTCTCACTGCGTGCGTCCTCCTGTGCGCGATCCACGCAGAGTTCGCCCACGCACAGGTACCACTTCCTCCCTCTCCGCCCGCTTTCGCCCTCCTCCTGTCCCCCCCTCCCCTCCCTCCGTCTCACTTCTATTGAAACAGCAACGGTCCAAGCTTGCATCTTGCTGTGTTTCTGCTGCCGTTACCGTTCTCTGTCGTCTCAACCCCTTCCTGCTCAAACACCCGCCATCCGCGGTAGCCCCTCCCCTCCCACTGCTCTTCACCACGCGCCACACCTCTACCCCCCTTACCCGCCCCTCACCGCGCTCAACCGTCGCTCCTCGACTCACAACGCCTCTTCCACTCGCTCCCTCCTTCTCACCTCTCCCCCTCCACCTCTCTCCCCCGTACATCCGCGCAGCTGCAAACACAGGGAAAGGTATTCGAGGTGGGGTCGGGCATGCTGCGCTACTTCAGCCCGTGGAACCAAGACGTCGTGGGATGGAATTTGAGGCTCCTGTAAAGAGAAATCTTTGCTCTTTCCCTCCTTCGCGCCCCATCCCCCCCATATCCGCGCAGCTGCAAACACAGGGAAAGGTATTCGAGGTGGGGTCGGGCATGCTGCGCTACTTCAGTCCGTGGAATCAGGACGTGGTGGGATGGATTCCCCCCCGCAACATCAAACCAGGCGACCTCATTCGTAAGCCACGACCCACTTTCCTTAACGTGCCTCATAAGTAGAGCGATATGCTATATACGCTACTTCAGTCCGTGGAACCAGGACGTCGTGGGATGGATTCCCCCGAGGAACATCAAACCCGGCGACCTCATTCGTAAGCCACGACCCACTCCCTTTAATGTGCCTCAAAAGTAAACCGATTGCTATTTCAGCCCGTGGAATCACGACATGGTGGGCTGGATTCCCCCGAGGAACATCAAACCCGGCGACCTCATTCGTAAGCCACGCACCACTTTCATTAACGTGCCTCAAAAGTAGACCGAAATGCTACTTCTGCCCATAGCATCAGGACGTGGTGGGATGGATTCCCCCTCGCAACATCAAACCAGGCGACCTCATTCGTAAGCCACGACCCACGGTGACTTGGGGTACTAGCTGCGGTTGCAAACATGCGCGTTCCGACGTTCGACTCCAATTTACTGCTTCGCACACACAACAGCTCTTCTAGACCTCCGCCGCCCGTCTCTCTCCCTCTCCAATCCCCTCTTTCACCCATCCCCCTCGCCCGTCCATCCCCGTTATACAGTGTTTCGCTGGCTGGGCCGGCACGACGTGCGGCAGTTCCCAACGATCATCGGCTACAGCACTTGCAGCTTCTTTCTCTCCAAGACGCTCGCCTCGGGCAGCTACTTCGGGTTTTACCGCTACGTAGTGAAGCCCACGGATAAGGGCACCACGCTCTACTTCGGCAGCAGCATCGGCGACGACTGCCAGCGCGACATGAAGGTCGCCATCCCCATTCCCTAGGCGATTTGCGGGTTACCACGTAGTAACCCGCATCGCCTGTGCGGGACGCGTGAATGTGGTCGGTAGGAGCGTAGTGTTAGTTACGGGTTATGGTGCAGGGTAGGAGGGTAACTGGAAAAGATATCACTAATTGTAGTGGTACACCTGTGTGTACCCAAAGGAAATGATTAACATGTTTAACAGTTGGCAGAAAATCAAGTTCTTGCAAACCAGCTTCTGCGTACCCGGGTTGCAAAGCAGCGAGTGAGCGAGTGAGAGTGTGGTGGTGGCAGGTGAGGGCAGGTGAGAGTGTAGGGATGGATGGGGGAGAGGCGAGGGAATTACCGTATGTGGGCGGTGCGGCCATGTTCCCCTTGCCCTCTCGCCCCCTCGCCCTCTTAACTGTAATTACGTGCTCTGTGTCCGTACTGTTGGAAACAATTAATTCTAAGCGCCTCTGTCGTGTCGAAACACCAAGTCAGAAGCGAAGCGAAACATATCGAAGCACCGACGAGTCAACCCTCGGAGGTTGAGCAGTTGTTGGAGGTTACGCGAAAGTCAAAGGTCAGCGACCTTTAACCTGACAAGTACACCGCGACTGCAAGGACACACAACTGACTCGTTACAGAGCAGTTGTCCGAGTCGTCACTGTGTCGAACCGCAACAGCAACAGTAAAGTAGTTATAACTGTATCTCTTCATATTCCTTGTACTCTTATATAATCTTGTATCTCTTTGCTTTAATCAATCCACTTTGCCCTCACATACTAGCGCAAGGTGGTTCAACTCCTTTATTAAAACGCTTCCGCTATTACATTGTTCCTACCAAGAATTCACTCCTGCAAAGATCCTAAGGGCTATTTCTCAGCCCAACATGGTATGAGAGCTAACAGGGGAATTCAACTACCGGTACTATCAAGTCATCTACAACATTCGAAGATATGGCAACAAACAATGAAAGGAGTTCCTCTAATGGTTCTCCCGGCACTACTCCTACTCCACCTCCTGCCTCTGGCCTGCAGACAGAGGAGGGCACGGCAACGAGACCAGCAGCACATTAAGCAAGTCAACCTGCCAGCTTCGACCAGAGCATGATGGAGAAATTTTTCTCCTTCATGTCCTTCTACGAGCAACACCAGCAATCAGCACCTGCGCAGTCAAACAACAGCAACAACAACTACGAAGTGACTCCAATGAGCCTCGACGGTTCATCATACGCGCGCGGAAATCAACAGCAGCAGCCTACCTTTACTCCGTACGAGCGCGGATCTATCAGCTTCATGCCGCACCCGCAGCCTTCACCTGGACAAGAGAAGACACTGGACGCGCTTCAAGTTCAGTCGCAGTTCGCACACGTCTTAAAGCTGCAAACGTCAAGGCCTTTCGATGGAAAGGACTTCTTCACCTGGTCGTTCGAATTCGAGCTGATGATGGAAGGCGCGCAGATACTTGGCTTCTTCGACGGTTCCATGCTATACCCGACACACGGCACACAATACGACAAACAGCAGTACACATATCAGTCAATGATGGCTTATACGATTCTACTGAGGAACATCACGCCGAATCAACAGCAGAACATACGGTCTTACCGGGGATACGACAACTCCGCCAAACTCGCATACAGCCACTTGAAGAGCCTGTATCAAGCAACAGACAGTGTTAACCAAAGTCGGTTAATGGCGCAGCTGACAACAGTTGAAATGAAACCAGGAGAAAAGGGGATGGCGTATATTAGTCGCTATCGCGAGCTGCGCGACAAGCTTCTTCGATGCGGAGGGACAATATCCGAAGACGCCTTCGTGACAGTCATCATCGGAGGACTTGGTCCTCAGTGGCGCTCCACTCGAGCCATTCTTCGATCCCACGGAAGAATTTCCGAAGCAGCACTTTGCGCCGAAATCCACGCCGAGCAGCAAGACATGGATCTGCAAGAAGAGAGACACAAGAGGAAGACATGAGCACCAGAATTCGCTTTCCACACTCAACGACGCTACAACAACAACAACAACCGACAACAACAGCCGAAGCCAGTACCTCCGTTTTGTCACATCTGCAAGACGTCAGGACATCCGCGCATGCACTGCCAGAATCAACAACAGTCAACACCTCCGCAGTGAGAGCTTCGACCTTCAAGCAGCCAAGTCGCTTCAACGCAAGCGAACCTCACCGCTCAGGTTCAAGCCTCAACAACATCAATGGGACAACCTGCGCAAGGAACAAGAAACATCGTCAGTTGTATGGCAAGACTGACCGACTCCTGCATCACCGAGTCACCGCCACACCACACCTCGCCGCGAGTCACTTCAGCCGAACCCGACATACGCAGCCATCGCCCAAAGCGAGCCATCCGGGAAAGACACCTGGTTCTTGGACAGCTGCTGCGGACAACACATGTGCTCCTCAGGACGCTTCGTACAAAGGGAATACCAACTCCAACAAGAAGTCGTCATCACCGTCGCGAACAACCAAAACCTGCACCCAAGTGTATTTCGGCGCCTACAATTTCAGCGTCATTCACAAGTGCGCAGGTTTTGGTTCAGGTTGGTTCTTGCACGAAGAAAAGTTCGGCGCCTACGATTTCGGCCGATTTTGCCGCCAAGTGCCAAGAAAGCGCGTGAATCCCTATAGGCGTAGGGAAAAGCATTCAACAACCTAAATTTTATTGCATATTCGAGTGGCCCATATTCAAATATACGTACCATAGCCTTTTTGGCTTGGTTCTTGTGCGAAGAAAAGTTCGGTGCCTACGATTTCGGCCGTTTTTGCCGCCAAGTGCCTAGAAAGCGTGTGAATCCCTATAGGCGTAGGGAAAAGCATTCAACAACCTGAATTTTATTGCATATTTGAGTGGCCCATGTTCAAATACACATACTTGAGCTTTTTTGGCTTGGTTCTTGTGCGAAGAAAAGTTCGGCGCCTACGATTTCGGCCGATTTTGCCGCTTAGTGCCTAGAAAGCGCGTGAATCCCTATAGGCGTAGGGAAAAGCATTCAACAACCTGAATTTTATTGCATATTCGAGTGGCCCATGTTCAAATATACATACTAGAGCCTTTTCGGCTTGGTTCTTGTGCGAAGAAAAGTTCGGCTCCTACGATTTCGGCCGTTTTTGCCGCCAAGTGCCTAGAAAGCGCGTGAATCCCTATAGGCGTAGGGAATCTGAATTTTATTGCATATTCAAATGGCCCATCTTCAAATATACATAATAGAGCCTTTTTGGATTGCTTCTTGTGCGAAGAAAAGTTCGGCGCCTACAATTTCGGCCGTTTTTGCCGCCAAGTGCCAAGAAAGCGCGTGAATCCCTATAGGCGTAGGGAAAAGCATTCAACAACCTGAATTTTATTGCATATTCGAGTAGCCCATGTTCAAATACACATACTAGAGCCTTTTCGGCTTGGTTCTTGCGCGAAGAAAAGTTCGGCTCCTACGATTTCGGCCGTTTTTGCCGCCAAGTGCCTAGAAAGCGCGTGAATCCCTTTAGGCGTAGGGAAAAGCATTCAACAACCTGAACTTTATTGCATATTCGATTGGCTCATGTTTAAATACACATACTAGAGACTTTTTTGCTTGGTTCTTGTGCGAAGAAAAGTTCGGCGCCTACGATTTTGATCGTTATTTCCGCCAAGCGCTTAGAAAGCGCGTGAATCCCTATAGGCGTAGAGAAAAGCATTCAACAACCTGAACTTTATTGCATATTCGAGGGGCCCATGTTCAAATACACATACTAGAGCCTTTTCGGCTTGGTTCTTGCGCGAAGAAAAGTTCGGCGCCTACGATTTCGGCCGTTTTTTCCGCCAAGTGCCAAGAAATCGCGTGAATCCCTATAGGCGTAGGGAAAAGCATTCAACAACCTGAATTTTATTGCATATTCAAGTGGCCCATGTTCAAATACACATACTAGAATTTTTTCGGCTTGGTTCTTGTGCGAAGAAAAGTTCGGCGCCCACGATTTCGGCCGATTTTGCCGCCAAGTGCCAAGAAAGCGCGTGAATCCCTATAGGCGTAGGGGAAAGCATTCAACAACCTGAATTTTATTGCATATTCGAGTCGCTTATGTTCAAATACACATACTAGAGCTTTTTCGGCTTGGTTCTTGTGCGAAGAAAAGTTCGGCGCCTACGATTTCGGCAGTTTTTGCCGCCAAGTGCCTAGAAAGTGCGTGAATCCCTATAGGCGTAGGGAAAATCATTCAACAACCTGAATTTTATTGCATATTCAAGTGGCCCATGTTCAAATACACATACTAGAGCCTTTTCGGCTTGGTTCTTGTGCAAAGAAAAGTTCGGCGCCTACGATTTCGGCCGTTTTTTCCGCCAAGTGCCTAGAAAGCGCATGAATTTTTATAGGCGTAGGGAAAAGCATTCAACAACCTGATTTATTTTGCATATTCAAGTACACATACTAGAGCCTTTTCGGCTTGGTTCTTGTGCAAAGAAAAGTTCGGTGCCTACGATTTCGGCCGTTTTTGCCGCCAAGTGCCTAGAAAGCGCGTGAATCCCTATAGGCGCAGGGAAAAGCATTCAAAAAACCTGATTTTTATTGCATATTCGAGTGGTCCATGTTCAAATACACATACTAGAGCTTTTTCGGCTTGGTTCTTGTGCGAAGAAATGTTCGGCGCCTACGATTTCGGCCGTTTTTGCCGCCAAGTGCCTAGAAAGCGCGTGAATCCCTATAGGCGTAGGGAAAAACATTCAACAACCTGACGTTTATTGCATATTCAAGTGGCCCATGTTCAAATACACATACTAGAGCCTTTTTGGCTTGGTTCTTGTGCAAAGAAAAGTTCGGCGTCTACGATTTCGTCCTATTTTTCCGCCAAGTGCCTAGAAAGCGCGTGAATCCCTATAGGCGTAGGGAAAAGCATTCAACAACCTGAATTTTATTGCATATTCAAGTGGCCCATGTTCAAATACACATACTAGAGCTTTTTCGGCTTGGTTCTTGTGCGAAGAAAAGTTCGACGCCTACGATTTCGGCCGATTTTGCCGCCAAGTGCCTAGAAAGCGTGTGAATCCCTATAGGCATAGGGAAAAGCATCAAACAACCTTAATTTTTTTAGCATATTCAAGTGGCCCATATTCAAATACACATACTAGAGCCTTTTGGGCTTGGTTCTTGTGCGAAGAAAAGTTCGGCGCCTACAATTTCGGCCGATTTTGCCGCCAAGTGCCTAGAAAGCGCGTGAATCCATATAGGCGTAGGGAAAAGCATTCAACAACCTGAAGTTTATTGCATATTCAACTGGCCCATGTTCAAATACACATACTAGAGCCTTTTCGGCTTGGTTCTTGTGCAAAGAAAAGTTCGGCGCCTACGATTTCGGCCGATACCGCTGAGTGGCCTGGTCGTCTGCCCAAGAAGCGTCTGAGTGCCCTGTGAGAACAACTCGGTCTCGCTCTCCAAGCACAAGCCCCATGCCCGACGTACTGCACAAGTAGCGCAACACCCTCTTAGCGGCATCCATGTGCTCCTTCCTGTGACGGCCAGGAGCGACATAGCGTGCAAGGATGCTAAGAGGGTATGCAAGGTCAGGTCGAGTGCAGGTCATCAGGTACATGAGGCAGCCCACAAGCTCTGGATACGGGCCACTCGGCTCTACGGACTCATCCGAAGGCAGAGCTGAGAGCGAGTGACCGGTAGGCAGAGGAGTGAACTGAGGCGAGGAGTACGTGAAGCCAAAGCGCTGGAGAACCTGCTGCACCATGTGTGACTGAGTCAAGGTGATGGTGCGCCGTGCTCTGTCCCGGGTGATCCGCAAGCCAAGATAGCTTGTCAGCTCACCCAGGTCTGTGCACGTGTGTCTCCTCTGCAGCTCCGACTTCACGTAGGCGAGTCCTGCAGTGTCAGCAGTGGCAAAGACCAAGTCGTCGACGTACACGAGGATGTAGAACGGCGGCAGCGAAGTGTCGGTGCGCAGGAACAGCGACGGGTCAGCTGTAGAAGGCGCGAACCCAAGAGCCGCAAGTGTAGTCCTCAGTGTGTCGTGCCACTCACGTGGAGCCTGGCGGAGACCGTAGACCGGCCGCTGAAGCCTCCACTGGGTACCAGGAGGAAACGACCCAGTGAAGCCAGGTGGGCGGCGCAGCCAGATCTCCTCGTGCAGGCTGCCCTGCAAGAAAGCAGTGCTGAAGTCAAGTGAGTGAAGCTCGTAGTCGCGGTGAGCGGCTATGTGCAGCAGCACCCGAAGAGTGGTCATCTTCGGGGTGGGGGAGAAGGTCTGGAAGAAGTCAACTCCCTCTCGCTGACTGAAGCCTCGAGCCACGTAACGCGCCTTGAAGACAGGCGGAGAACCCGGCGGCCGCTTCACCCTGAAAATCCACATGCCACTGACGATGTTCGCCCCAGGAGGGGGAACCTCGTCGACGTAGGTGCGTGTGGACTTCCAGGAAGCCATCTCGGCGTCCATGGCCGTCTGCCACTGAGAGGAGTAGGGACCCGCCATCGCCTCAGCGTAAGTGCGTGGGGTCGGGATGTCTGGTGCATCCGGGTCTCCCTCAGGGGCAACTAGCAAGGACACGAGACGGAGCAAAGCAGCAGCAAGACACTGGAACTCCTCCTGTCTGTCCTCAAGGACGTCCGTGCCAAGAGCACACTCACCCCCGACGGACGGAGGACAGACAGACTCAGACTCAGACTCAGCAACAAGGCTAGCAGCGTAGTCTAGACGACAGGCAGCAGCAAAGTCAACCAACTCAGCGACCAGAGCAGACGCAGTCGAGGACTCAAAGGTAGGGTCAGTGACAACAGTAGCGAGGAGACGCGTGACAGTAGGGTGCTCAGCACGGTACCGGTCAGACTCAGGGTCCGGAACGTGAGGCAAAGAAGACGCGGGAGGAGACGGTAGAGGGACACGCTGAGGAGCAGTAGAGGGACGCAGAGTCATGTAGTGAGTGCCTGGGACAGGAGGAGGACGCTCACGACGGACACGACTACCAGTGCGAGCAGGACGAACAGGCGACGCAGGACGAGACTCAGGCTCACGACGCTCTGTAAGACCTCCTGTGGGACCAGTGTAAGGAGAGGGAGCAGGGAGAGGCGAGGTAGGCGGTAACTGTGACTGCGACTGGACAGGCAGAGGACACTCTACGGAGGGAGGAGGACAAGGAGGAGGAGCCTGCCCAAGAACCTGCTGAAGGAGCGGTACGAAGTACGGTCGCGGCCGCGCAGCGTCTCCAGAAGCAGAGGAGACTCCAGCGGCCGGGTCCACAGCACCAGCAGCAGCTCCACCGGCCGGGTCCTCAGCACCAGTAGTAGCTCCAACGCCCGGGTCCTCAGCAGTAGCAGCAGCGCCACCGCTCGGGTCCTCAGGTCCAGCAGCAGCTCCACCGTCCGAGTCCTCAGTACCAGCAGCAGCGCCACCGCCCGGGTCCTCAGCTCCAGCAGCAGCTCCAACGTCCGAGTCCTCAGTACCAGCAGCAGCTCCACCAGGCGGGTCCGCAGCACCAGCAGCAGCTCCAACGTCCGGGTCCTCAGCACCAGCAGCAGCGCCACCCCCAGGGTCCGCAGCACCAGGAGCACCACTCCGAAGACTGCAGCGCCGTGTGTACCACTCGCGGATCTGCTGAATGGGGGGGAGCTCCTGGGTAGGAGGGGAAGTACCGGGACGAGCTCCAGCAGCACCTCTCCGGAGGCGGCAGTACTCGAGGTACCTCTCCTGCAGCTGCTGGGAGGAGAGGGCTCCTCCAGGTGTAGCACGCTCAGGCTCAGCACCCCCAGACGCAGCACCCCCAGACCCAGCACCCCCAGGCTCAGCACCTCCAGGCTCCGCACCTCCAGGCTCCGCACCTCCTGGCTCAGCACCCCCAGGCTCCGCACCCCCAGACTCAGCACCCCCAGACGCAGCACCCCCAGACGCAGCACCCCCAGGCTCAGCACCCCCAGACGCAGCACCCCCAGGCTCAGCACCCCGAGCAGGACGAGAGTCAACAGCTACCTCGACAGGCTCACCCGGGTCTACCTGGGACACACCTGAGGGAGCGGCACCCTGAGGGGGGAGGGGGTCTGGTACCTCAGCACCTGGAGCAAGGAAGAGAGGCGGGGGGGGAGAGCGGGGCAGTGCGGTAGGGGAAGAGGCGGTAGTAGGGGACGGACTCGTCAAAAGTGACGTCCTGAGAGGCCAGGACACGCCGCGAGGTGGGGTGGTAGAACTGCCAACCAGGGGCGTCCGGGACAAAGCCAAGGAAGACGCAGGGGACAGCGCGACGGGAGAGCTTGTCCGCGGACGTGTCGCGGACAAAAGCTCGGGATCCCCAGACCCGAAAACGCGACGCATCGCCAGCCTCTCCCGTCCAACGCAGTGTCGGAGAAGTCTCGGGCAAGGAGACACGGGGCCAGAGGTTGAGCTGATGCGCAGCGTATCGGACTGCAAACGGCCACAGAAAATGGGGGGCAGCCGCATGGCTCAAGGAGGTACGAGCGACCTCCATGACCAGACCAATGCGGCGCTCAGCAACCCCATTCTGCTGTGGAGAGTCCGGAAGCGTGTACGACTGCTCAATGCCCTCCTGCTGACAGAAGGCCTCCAATAGGCCAGAGGAGAACTCCCCACCTCTGTCAGAGTGCAGACGCAGGACAGGGAAGTCGGAGCGGAAACGCTCACGGAGCTGGAGACGAGATCTGCGGATCCAAGGGATCAAGACATCAGGGACGTCACCCTTGGCGCGCAAGGGGAAGACCGTGGTGTAGCGCGAGAAGTCGTCAACAACAATCAGGAAGTACCTCTCCTGACCCTGACCACGGACGCGGGCTGGGCCCCACACGTCCATGTGGAGCGTCTGCAAGGGAGCAGTCGTCGGGGGAAAGGAGGAGGAGTGAGGAGCGGCGCGCTGCCGTCCCTCGACACAGGGAATACAGGGAGGAGCAGGCGAGTCGGGAAGGGGAGGGAGCACCCTGGGAAGACCAGCAACAAGGTCCCGCTTGTGCATGGCCCGAAGGCGCTGCACAGACGGGTGGCCAAGGCGGTGGTGCCAAAGGACAGTCTCATGCGTCAGAGAGCGACACGAGCAGGGGGCGGACAGCTGACCTGATGCAGACGCAGACGCAGACGCAGCTACCTGAGGGGACTCAGTGGTCAGTGTGTAAAGGTCCGACCCCGGCTCCCGAGTGAAGGTAGCCAGGTGGCGACCCGTCCGAGCACACGTGCAGTGTGTCACGCGCTCGTAGGCAGGGGTGAACTGGTGAACACCTCCGTCCTGGAGCGCACTACCTGCCACCAGGTTCGTAGAGAACGAGGGGAGGTAGAGACCTGACAGCGTGCCGGACGGGACCGCCGGACAAGGAAGGACAGTGGAGGAGGTCGCAATGACCGGACCCCCAGAGGGGTCAGCAAGGGAGACAGCAACTGGCCGAGCGAGTGGCTCAAGGACAGTGCGGTCACGAAAGAAGGAGCGAGAAGCACCTGAGTCCAGTGTGAAGGTGTGCAGTGCTGCAGTCGACTCAGTACCAGGGGGCACGGACGCACGAGCACCTAGGGCAGCGGCCTCACCAGGACCTGTGGGAGCAGACGCACTAGCACCTAGAGCGGCAGCCAGACTGGCCTGAATGCCCGGGTCGGGCGGAACACGCAAGTACTGAGCACCCTCTCCACTAATAGACATCGCATACATGGCAGTGAGAATAGCATCAAAGTCTAAAGCCCAAATATCAACACCCCTCTTTTCCAGATCAGCCCAGCGCGGCAGCTCAGTGGCAGCAGGAAACTGAGTGCGCCACGCGTCGTTAAGGCGCGCGAAACAGCGCTGCGTGGGGTGCGGCCTCCCACACTGCTGGCCGCTGCGGTCACCTGTGCGAATGACGTACGTGCAGGTAACGCTACGCTGCGCATACCACTCACGGGCGGCCTGAAGTGTTGGGGCGGGCTGCTGACTCTGCCCTCCGCCAGTGCCTCCACGACCACCACCCCAACTGCCGCCGCCCCGGCCACCTCCACCCCTGCCGCCGCCACGACCACCTCCGCCTCCGCTGCCGCCTCCACCACCACTCCCGCCGCTGCTGTCTCCTCCCCCACTGCCGCCACCAGTCTCCCCAGCCGCGCCTCCACTCCCACCGCCTCCACCCCCACCTCCTCCGCCACCACCCCCACCCCTGCCCCCCTTGTTCCTGCGGCGCCCGCTCGAAGCAGACGCGGTCCCGACCTTCTCAGCACCAAGAAGGTCGACAGCAGCAGCAGAGGCGACAGAGGGGAGGAGGGGGGAAGGGGAACACCCCTCAAAGAACGGGGTGCGGGGGTCGCCACGAGAGGTGCCTACAGCGACGATGCTCGCCTCAGCTGCAAGCAGTTCCTTCTCGAGGAGGGCAACAGTGAGCTCAGTGGGGGAGCGAGAGAGGAAGTGGTCCCTGACTGCGCACAGAGAGTCAGGGAGGCGGGTGACGATGTGGTAGAGAGTGATCCAGAGCGGGGGGGGGTTGCTAGTGAGAAACTCGGCAGGCATAGCAGCGCGAAAGCGGGCCTCACTAGTCTTAAGGTGGGTGATGAGGTCTGCGACAGTGTGAAAGGAGGCTAGGTCGGGGAACAGGTAGGGGAGAGTGAGGCGGCCTAGCGTGGCAGAAGCGGGTGAGGAGTAGCGGGCAACTACAGCGGTGTAGAGGTCATCTAGCCAGGTTTCGAACTTCACTGGACGGCCCTCGGCATCGAAAGCTAGAACTGGCGGACTAGCCATAGTGACAGTAGTAGTAGGTATAAGGTAAACAGTAGGAACGAGGCCGCTGGGAGACTGTGGGCAGTGTCAACGGGGCCGGCAGCAGCGGCAAACGAGTGGTAGCGTACGGGCGGCAGCGGGTGACGGGCGGGCGGCAGCTGCGGCAGCGAGCTGCGGGCCTGCGGGGCCACGGCGGGGCGCGCGCGAGCAGCAGGGGCCGCGCGAAGGGCTGACGGGCCGCGTGCGGGCGACTAGCGGGCCACGCGCGCAACTAGCGGGCCGCGCGCGCAAGAAACAGAGCCGCGCGCGCTAAAAAAAAAAGGACCCGCGCGCGGGTAGCTAGCAGGTCGCGCGCGCGGTGGGGAAAGGCGCACGAGGGCGCGAGGCCTTAAGGGGCCGTAAGAACCGAGGCGCTCTAAGGCGCAGGTAGGTAGGTAGGTAGGTAGGTAGCGGTGGGCCCTAAGAACGGTCCTAGCGAAGGACCTGCTCTGAAACCATGTCAGAATGAACGGACTGGAATGGTTGAACTAACAGAGAAATCAGTACAAAATAGCAAACCCTAGAATTGTGTACCCCATATAGGCTAACCCACTGTAGCCTAACAAACCCAACATATATAATGTTTGACAGTCATCTTCTACGAAGAACTCACCATGCGATACTACCTCGCCAACTTTCAAGAAGGAAACCCCGACCAGAGCAATGGTTTTCGTGGAGACCGAGCCTTCGCTTCGGCAGCCGACGAAGCTGACTGGGACGAGCAGAATGTGGACAGAGCCCCGGAAGAAGCCGGATCACTCCCATACTGCTGGGTAGACGTACCGATGGACGATCACAACCTTTGCGAAAGCATCAACGCCGAAGTCTTCTACAAGTTCGCCGACGACGGTTACGTTACACCTGAGCAAGTCAACACCAACGAAGCAGAACGCGTAGGACCCAATTTCATACCTGATCCAGAAGCGGGAGACGAAGCAGTTTATCCCGAGGACACAACACTCCCCCGCTACACACAGAGTGGACTCCAGATACTTGGGCTCGTCACTGCAGTCCACGGCGCGGCGATTCCTAAGGAGCCTGCGACAGTTCAGCAGGCTCTGGGGGGGTCACATAGGGAGTAATGGCGCAAAGCCATGGACATGGAGCTGAAGGCACTGGAGGAACGCAACACGTGGAAGGTTGTTCCCATCGGCGTAGCACGATTCTCACCGGAAAGTGGGTCTTCCGCGTGAAGACGAAGGCTGACGGCACCATCGACAAGTTTAAAGCGCGCTGGGTCGTACGCGGCTTCGACCAAGAGCATGGATGCGACTTCACCGAAACATTCGCTCCGGTCAGCCGACACACTTCGCTACGAATCCTCCTCGCAATCGCCGCCATGAAGAAGAAGAAGCTGCGGCAAATTGACGTCGCCAACGCATTCCTCTACGCACCTGTTGACGCAGAGAATTTCGTGGAACTACCAAACGGATCCAGCACGGACTCCAACCACGTCTGCCGGCTACTCAATTCGCCCTACGGGATTAAGCAGGCTCCGCGGCTATGGCAACAATACCTCACTCGCATCGGCTTCAAGCAACTACCGTGCGATCAGGGCATGTACCGGCTCACGAAGGACACCGACTACATCCTGCTAATCGTCTATGTAGACGATCTGCTCTACATCGGCTCGACCGACGGTGTCACAACCTGGTTCGAAGGGGAGCTACAGCAAGACCTCACGCTCACGGTCTCATCTACCGTCACACAGTACCTCGGCCTCAACATCCGGGAAGAGGAAGACGCGATCTACCTCAGCGCCGCGAAGTACGCCGACACCATCGCCAAACGCTTCGCTCTCACACCGACCGCCATCTCCATGCCATACCGCTACACGACAGGAAATAACAAGGGAGGCTCTGCTCTACTCAAGCCCGCCGGCATACGCGACTACCAGAGGAAGCTGGGATGCCTCCTCTTCGCAGCTGTCACCTGCCGCCCGGACCTATCATACTCTGCAAGCCAGCTCGCCACCTACCTTAGAAGCCTGAAGCGGAACATCTGGCGGAGCTCGACCGCGCTCTTCACTACCTCGTCAGCACCCCGACGATCGGCCTGAATTACCACAACAACGGAACTGCTGCACATAAACTAATCGGCTACGTCGACGCCGATCACGCCGGCGACTCCGACAACAGGCGCTCGCGCACCGGCTACATCTATCGCTTCGAGCCTATCGGTCCTATCTCCTGGCAATCGAGCAAGCAAGAATTAATCGCCCTTTCTTCGGCTGAAGCAGAATATATCGCACTCTGCTCAGCCACCAAGGAAGGACTTTACCTTCGCGAACTGCTGGAAGAAGCGAAGCTAGCTCAGTTACCCAGCTTCACCCTGTTCTGCGACAACCAGTCGGCAATTCGCATCGCCAACAAGAACGGCTTCGCGAACAGGACGAAACACATCGCCCTGCGATACTTCTTCGTGAAGGACGAAATCGAGAAGGGGAGACTCGAGCTGTCATACTGTCCCACGTCCGAGATGGCAGCTGACTATTTGACCAAGAAGCTCGGAAAGCAGAAGTTCGAGTACTGCATGCTGCTGACTGGACAGAGCCACGTCACCAGCAGCGACACTCCAGAAGCGAAGGGGAGTGTTGGAAACAATTAATTCTAAGCGCCTCTGTCGTGTCGAAACACCAAGTCAGAAGCGAAGCGAAACATATCGAAGCACCGACGAGTCAACCCTCGGAGGTTGAGCAGTTGTTGGAGGTTACGCGAAAGTCAAAGGTCAGCGACCTTTGACCTGACAAGTACAGCGCGACAGCAAGGGCACACAACTGACTTGTTACAGAGCAGTTGCCCGAGTCGTCACTGTGTCGAACCGCAACAGCAACAGTAAAGTAGATATACCTGTATCTCTTCATATTCCTTGTACTCTTATATAATCTTGTATCTCTTTGCTTTAATTAATTCACTTTGCCCTCACATACTAGCGCAAGGTGGTTCAACTCCTTTATTGAAACGCTTCCGCTATTACATTGTTCCTACCAAGAATTCACTCCTGCAGAGATCCTAAGGGCTATTTCTCAGCCCAACATGTACAAGCAGCACAGAAGCATTACAACACTGGCTACCTGGTCCAGCCACAAGAGTTGCGCATCACAAGAGTGGTGCAATGTGTACCACAGTGCAAGCAGCTTCGGAATAACAAGAGGCTCTAAGCGCTCGCTCCAGAAACACCGATAACTGTCAATCAGCCACAACAGCAGCTACACACAATCGAGTCTGACGGAAGTACAACAGCTACATCGCACCCCTAGCTGTTCCGCACAACTCATCCATACCTCAAAGCTCAACTGTGGAGCATCAAGAGGCAGTGTGGTAGAGCAGCGGAAAAAACGGCCGAAATCGTAGGCGCCGAACTTTTCTTCGCGCAAGAACCAAGCCGAAAGGGCTCTAGTATGTGTATTTGAACATGGGCCACTCGAATATGCAATAAAATACAGGTTGTTGAATGCTTTTCCCTACGCCTATAGGGGGTCACGATGCTCTGGTCACGATGCTCTGGTCACGATGCTCTGGTCACGATGCTCTGGCTCTGGTCACGATGCTCTGGTCACGATGCTCTGGTCACGATGCTCTGGTCACGATGCTCTGGTCACGATGCTCTGGTCACGATGCTCTGGTCACGATGCTCTGGTCACGATGCTCTGGTCACGATGCTCTGGTCACGATGCTCTGGTCACGATGCTCTGGTCACGATGCTCTGGTCACGATGCTCTGGTCACGATGCTCTGGTCACGATGCTCTGGTCACGATGCTCTGGTCACGATGCTCTGGTCACGATGCTCTGGTCACGATGCTCTGGTCACGATGCTCTGCTCACGATGCTCTGCTCACGATGCTCTGCTCACGATGCTCTGGCTCACGATGCTCTGCTCAATGCTCTGCTCACGATGCTCTGGTCACGATGCTCTGGTCACGATGCTCTGGTCACGATGCTCTGCTCACGATGCTCTGGTCACGATGCTCTGGTCACGATGCTCAGGTCACGATGCTCAGGTCACGATGCTCAGGTCACGATAATCAGGTCACGATGCTCCGGTCACGATGGTCCGGTCACGATGCTCTGGTCACGATGCTCTGGTCCGATGCTCTGGTCCCGATGCTCTGATGCTCTGGTCACGATGCTCTGGTCACGATGCTCTGGTCACGATGCTCTGGTCACGATGCTCTGGTCACGATGCTCTGGTCACGATGCTCTGGTCACGATGCCCTATAGGCGTAGGGAAAAGCATTCAACAACCCGAACTTTATTGTTAATGCATATTCGACTGCCACATGTTCAAATACACATAATAGAGCCTTTTTGGCTTGGTTCTTGTGCGAAAAATTCAACGCCTACGATTTCGGCCGTTTTTGCCGCCAACTGCCTAGAAAGCGCGTGAATCCCTATAGGCGTAGGGAAAATCATTCAACAACCTGAATTTTAATGCATATTCGAGTGGCCCATGCTCAAATACACATACTAGAGCTTTTTGGGCTTGGTTCTCGTGCGAAGAAAAGGTCGGCGCCTACGATTTTGGCTGTTTTGCCGCCAAGTGCCTAGAAAGCGCGTAAATCCCTATAGACGTAGGGAAAAGCATTCAACAACCTGAATTTTATTGCATATTCAAGTGGCCCATGTTCAAATACACATACCAGAGCCTTTTAATCTTGGTTCTTGCGCGAAGAAAAGTTCAGCGCCTACGATTTCGGTCGTTTTTTCCGCCAAGTGCCTAGAAAGCGCGTAAATCCCTATAGGCGTAGGGAAAA